CTATTCTAGACCCAAACGCTCTGATTTATATACCCTATCCTAGAGTAAACTGCTTGAAAACCATACCCTTCACAGCGGCACATACCTACATAGCCCATACATGGCAGTGCCCACCCCCCTTCCCCCCCCGGGGTTGGACCTAAAAGACCAGCTTTGATTGAACTGTGAAAAGCGCCTGAATATTTATAAGTAGGAAACGCTGATTCCATGAAAACAATCAGCCGTTAAATCTTGCGAAGGTTTGTTTTATGTCTTCCTTCCATAATGACAATTGTGATGCGCTTTTTTTTCTGTCAGTCTGAATTTTTTAACCCATGTATATTCGTGCGCGTGTCACACGCGTGTTCCTCTCACGGCCTGGCCTCGGCGTGCGTGCTGGACTGCAAAGGAAGCCGTAAGCCTCGGTATCAAGTGGGATTTTAACATCTCGTAATCCTGCGTAATCGGGTAATTAGCAGCAAAAAGGTCATGTAAAGGGACTTTCCCTTTAGAAAACAAGGAAGCATTTCCTACGTGGAGCTTGTAGCTGCGTCAATATTCCGACGCAATTCCTACGCACAAATGCTTCAAGCATAACACCGCTTCAGGAAGTTCTGTTATTTCGTTCACGAGAACGGTCCATATTCAAAAGACGTACGTAAATCCAAAAAGACGACTGTACATGCAGTTATGTCAACGATCTTTTGCATGGACAGGGTCGTTGCGGATCATAGAGCACGTTTCTGCCGGGTATTTAGATAGGAAATGTTTGTCGTTCAAAACTGCATCCTGTTTGGAACCACACATCACATAAACAGGAAATTGATAGCCTGCGTACTAAGCGTCCCGTGCGAGGAACCTTTTTCCGCATACTGGCTGGGCGCAAATTGGAGCGAGAGCGAAAAAAAAAAACCAAAAAAAAAATTGAGGAAGCAGGGTTTGAAGCTCTCGCTCCAATTTGCGCGCGGCCAGAAATGCGGAAAGAGCTCTTCGCATGGGAACGCTGGCTATGCAGACTAGGAAATCGAAAAGTTTCGAGATGCTTTCGAGTGTAATTTGAAACTGATAAACAAGAATGCATGGTTGCTTCCCACTCCCATCGAAAAAAGTAGTTTCTTTAGTATTACTGCTTTTGACGAGAGTTCCCAGGGCATTGTTATAGAGATTTATAGATCTGTTTCTTTAAACGTCAAATTGTGCGACATCAGTGGCCAAAGGTTGGAGAGGGAAGCATACCAATGACTAGTGATTTATTAAAGCAATGATTCATCCGCACCATTCGAGTTGACAGACCCTTTTGGTGTCGTAAGTAATAAAACTTACAGTACGGACCTCGAACTCGGTTTATAGTGCGAGGTATCTACTGATCACAAAATCATGAAAATTCAACATGTTGCATGTCTATGTTGTAGTCAGAACGGAGTCAGAACTTACAATCACAGTCTCTAGTCTCGATTCCTTGTCATGTTTTCTCTTCTTGTGAATGTTCTCAATGTCTCCCAAGGAAATTAGCTCACCCCTGTGCAGAAATAGAACAGTATTGATCAACTTTCAGAGGGAAGATGGAAAGGAAACAAGGCGCTAGAGGAGAATCTCAGTGAGTGTTCCTGTCAATTATTGACGGAAATTGCAGACTAAGCTATAGAAAATTTACACAAAGAGCTACTAAGGACACTCGAACCATAAACATTTCACATTTTTTGTGCATTTTTTTTTGTTGACTTATAGAGTGAAGGTTTTTCAAGAGCGCTTTTACAATAAACAAACGCTACATACTTTTGTTAACGAAGAGCCCTCATTCCATAGCGACTAAATAGTGTTCACGGTTCGAATATCCTCACTGTAACAACGAAATTAAATGATTGAAGTCACTTTTACTGTATGGGCGTTTTCTTCCGTTGCTTTCGCAGGAATTCACAGAAAGAGGGTTATTTTCCCTCATGGAAAGATAGCAGTTTCGTGTTTTTCGCTTTTCTTTTTTTTTTTTCAGTTGTCCTTTCTACATGTATATCTGGTCGTGACTAGTCGGTCTTACAAAACGATAAACGGTGGATGGACTGCACGCCATTTTCAAACTTACAATTCTCCTTACAGGCCTAAATTCAATTCTTGCACTGCTAGCTGAAAAAATTTGATAACATAACACCGTTTGGTGACAAGTTCTTTTCAATTCTGAGTATAATGATTGTAAGGAAAAATAAGGACCGTTGTTTTATTACACCTTGGTCCAGATTACCCCACATTTCTGTTATGCTACTTCGGAGAATTTAGAAGCACGGCAGGACGATCTTGACGATTTTCTATATTCTCCCCATTGATATTTGTAAGGAGAAATTCTTTGTAATCACAGACTGGAGTACGAACCGTTCCGCGGGCCCTGTGTTGTCGGCTCCACGCTTTCGTTTCATGCCCACTTTTGGATCAATCTGCTTTGCTATTTCGCGTAACCTGATCTTTTTGAAATCCTCATCCGTGAGAATCTGAAATAAACAAACAAGGAATCCAGGGTTTACAGACATGGACAGACATGGTACGTCACGCTGTGCCTTAAAGGAGCTCAGTCACTGTATTGTGGCCACGTACATTATTACCTTTCAATATTCTATTTACAAATTTTTAACACAAAATTATATTCTTTTCAAACTCTCAGCCTCGGGTTTATTCTTAAAATATTCTTAAACTTTCGCAGTTTTCAGCCTCAATGTTCTTTTGTATATATTCTTATATACAAAAAGAGAGTGTACCCCATTCGCACCAGATCCCAGAAAAAAACCACTGTGCAAAACGTGGATTATAAAAAAAGATCTATATAAAGAGTGTTGTCTCTTACTCTGGTTTGACTTATTCTCGTCGCCTTGGTTTTCAAGTCTTCCTCTTCTTCAACTTCTCCTTCGTTTTCTTCGCTATTTCTCTCATCATCCTCTTCATTCTATAAAATCGAATGGATACAGGAAATTATTTCATACACTAGAAATAACCGCGCTTTCAAACTTTGAATCTTTGAATGTCCCTTTATAACTACACGTGGGAGGTGCGGTGGCCTCATGGTTGGTGCGCTCGACTCCGGATCGACCGGTCCGGGTTCGAGCCCTGGCCGGGGACATTGTGTTGTGTTCTTGGGCAAGATACTGTACTCTCACAGTGCCTCTCTCCACCCAGGTGTATAAATAGGTACCGGCGAATTTAATGCTGTGGGGTAACTTTGCGATGGACTAGCATCCCACCCAGGGGGGAGTAAAAATACTCCTAGTCGCTTCATGCTACAGAAACCGGAGATAAGCGCCGGCCTGATGGGCCACTAGGCTCGTATGCAGACTTATAACCACACCTTGTTCTATCTTATGAAGAAGACAACATTTTAGGAGGTGTATGATAATGTGCGTCATTCCAGCAAGATCCTGTCAACAGTAAACAATACTTTATCGCTTAGTACATTTCTAGCTTTCAACGGACGTAACGACAAATAACGATGACAAGTTGTACAAATACAAAGAAACAGTACACGGACTGCACCTCTTCCTCTTCGTCTGACGAATGATAAACATCCATCCATTCACCCTCGTCATCATCCTCATCACTTTCCCACTCATCTGAGAATTGAAGGAAGGCAAAATACTCGCAGTAAGAACCGAAACAAATGATAATTCACAGATGACATAAAGACTCTGTCACAGTCTTTTTAAGCCTAGCCTACGATCGGGCTCACGTTAGGCGAACACAGGCGCGAGCGGCGAAGCTGGGCTCTCCGCCGGATCGCCTCGCTCGCGCACACGCGCTTCGCCGCTCGGGCGTGTGACTCAAAGGTGAGCCTCCTCGCAGGCTATTTTATACCTCACTGCAGTCTGGAGATCCAGTAACACTTTCGGTAAACTATCGTTATTCCAACACCCGAAAAAGTCTTATCGTAATCAGCCAATCAAACGATTCCACAAGTAATTGAAAGCATAGAGATATTGAAATCACTTTGGCTTGTCGTCATCAAGACAAACCATGTTCTGGTTGTGAAAACTCCGATATCAATCAATTTGACCGTCCCTGACAAGAGACAGTCAAGGCGAACTTGTCCCCAGATGTCCCAAATGGACTGATAACAAAGCTACCTTGGTTAGGATCTTTTTCATTGTTGTCGTCTTCTTCACCTTCATCATCAAGCACCTGGCAAAATCAAAACATTATGTTGATAAATCATGCATTCAATACTAAGAAAAAATGAAGCCCTGGCTCGGGTTTGCTATGCTATCCCAACAGATGTAGAGTTCAATTCTGTTCTTGGGTGGAGAGAGACAAGTCATAATGGGACAAGTGGAGAGGAGAAGGGGACATTTTAGACCGGGTGGACATCTTGGATTAAAATACCAGGAGCTGATATGATAAAATAACTCCTGTTTACAGTAGTTTATAAAATCTGAGGCGAGTCGTTAACTACTGCAACATAATGAACAAAGTAAACTGCAGACCATGATGTAGGTTTATTTCACGAAATTCCGCATATTAAAGATAAAACAAGTCGGCTGGTATATACATAAAAACACTGTACCTCCGTCCCAGGAACGAAGTCTGTTGTTTTCAGTTCGCCATATTGTTTCACTGTAATGCTTTTACTTTCCTCTGTTGGTTTACCCTGTAACAAGACAAAAGACTATAAGCCATGTCCCAAATCTAAAGCAGACAAGCACATCACACCTCCTCATTCCTCTTCTAAACAATATACAACCTTGTTACAAATGTGATGTGATTGTTAGTAATATGAGGGCCTTCCAGGAAGGGTTAACATGTGGCCTAGATCCCTTGAAAAGTCACTTTTTCTCGTAAACATTTTCCCTACAATCTTCGTCAAAGTTCCCAATAATAATAGAGATTCCCCTTGTTCCCTCAAGGTAATCCCAAACATAGTCCTTGTTCCCTTGAAACTGATAAATGATCATGTTCGAGTCCCTCTAATATTGAAGTTACAGTATGAATAGTTTGCTTGCCCTGTCTTTCTTGTGAAGAAGAGCTGGATTTACGGCACGGAATAACTGTATCAGGGATCGAGCTGCCATCATCACACCTGCAACAAGACATACGACCACATATAGATCAGGAATAACGTCGAAAATAGTACTAATTAGTTAAAACATGTTAACACTTGTTTAATTACCAACTTTAACTTCAAGGTCTTAAAGGAGTACGCCACGGTTTGCGCATTTGAAGAGTTTAGCCTAAATGGATATAAGCTCCACCGCCCTATAGAACAATCAGGAAAACAGGTAACGCTGTTTGGCACATTTTGGTGGACACGTGCAAAATAACTGTTTCTAATTATCCAATTAGAAAGGAGGAAAAAGACTCGCCGGTGGTCCTTGACGTCATTTGAGATGACGTCACCAGGAAATCACGTTGCTTAGCAACAGTGGCTTTCTGTTGGAAACCGAAGGCTCAAAAAGGTTTCTCCTAGTGAATTGCTCCTTGCTGTCGAGTAAACGATTCGGAGGTTTAAACTTGCAACAAACCACTCACTTTTATCTTTAGACGTCTTGTACTGAGCTAAATCCTGAAGCAACTCATCTGTCATCACCAGTGGGCATCTAGCACACACTTCACGGACAGCATTTAGACTAGAAGAAAGGAAACGAGTTACTATTAAAAACAGTTAGTTGCTCAATGTTAACGAAACTTTTCCAAAGTTAATGGTAATGCATTACTCTAACTCAGGAATATTCTTTTACTTTCAAGTTCTTTCCCGCTGATAACAAGTATTACATTGAAAAAACTTTGCCTGGAGAGCCGAGCTGGAGAAAACAAGCCACTCTCTGACTCTCTTTCATTTCTTGACCATGCACTCTTAATTTCATCACACAACTTGGTTATTTGAACTTTTTTGTAGCACCTTTTGTTGACAAATTCCAGGACTGCGAACTAACAATTTGATTTCTGTTCCCCCCAGATCAAAATTCGAATGCAAATTAAATTTTGCAAAAGCATAATTCGCCACTTCTTGCAATCTAATATTTTATGTTGCAAGGGGAAGCTGTGGTGTGTTTTCAGTGTTAATTTTTTTGTCCTTTCAGTCACATGATCCATAGACTCTGTTTGACCGTGTTTATCAGTAATACTTACGATTAACCTGCATTTAACTTTGAAACTAGAAGATTGTCAAGTTGCAATATTGTTCATGTTATGATCTCAATAAACAGCAGCAGTAAATGCATGATTTTTACCCAACAGCCATGACTTCATTGGAGTTTCTCTCTGTAACAAAATTATTTACGATGGCTTTTAGGCCTGACTCAATAACCTGGAAGAAAGAAAGAACATTTTATAAAGTTAATCTTACAGTGTAATTCGATAATTTAGTTTAAGTCTACCTCACACCACGTCAAGAGATGGAGTTTTGACTACACATGGTTTGAGCTACAGTTGGTTTGATGACACAAGGCCTGATTTACAAGTTAGTTTCGACAAAGGGGAAGCAAGCTTGAATGATCAATCTGGTGCTTACAATATATTCAGAGTCAACTGTGGAATCTGTTTATTCAAAATAAAGGCTTCTGTCAAACAACACAACAACTCAGATTTTCGAAATTCTCATCAGTCGACTATTTGAAAACGTCTTCATTTTATAAGGAGAAAGTATATAATGATCACGACAAACCTCTGGAGGAACAAGGTCGTGACACGCTTGCGCAAAACACGTCAGTAGCTTGGTGACCTCTAATGGATAAGAAAAATAATTTCTTTATGAGGAAGTTCACATTATCAAAGCCATAGATGGTACAATGTTTCTCATAAAGAAGATACTGTAGCCGATTTCAAAAGTGTTATCCTTATCTCAGAAAGCCTAAATGGTAGAATGTTCCAAGAGTACCTCAGAGGAAGAGCAAATGGTCATGAAATGTTGTTCTATGCAACAACGATGAAAACGTGATCTGGAACAAGGCTACATGTACAGAATGACAGAGCGTGCTTTATTTAATCGGTTCCCTCTTACATGTATCTGCAGATAAGCTTGGCCAAGTCTTTTACAACAACTGCAAATTTTCAAGTTTTGCTACCAGAGTGATTGTAAATACAGTATAGATCGTTTTGAATCAAACTCCACAAACTTGAAATGCTGATCAGTGATGATCAAGCACCTTTACATTTGAACTCTCGTGATATTATACTTGCGTACAGATAGAAAAATATACGTTGCAATTACTGCATGTGTGCGAATTCAAGACGTGATGTTGCTTTCTTTTTTAAGTTATATATTCTACCTCTCTGGTGTGGCTGCAAGTATCGCTGGAGAAATGGATAGAAATTGAACAAGAAAAGCTGTGGCAAAAAGAAACAAACACATTAGTCACGTTAAGATACTTGAACTGGCTCAGTTTAGAAGAAGACTGGTTCACTTTCACTACGCGAAATAAGCAACTTATCCTACCTGGTGAATGCCGGTAAGTCTTGATATCAGGTCCATCATCATTAATTTCACCTCAAATCTCTCTGTTGATGTCTCTAGCTGCTTGAACAATCTCTCACTAAAACCTGTGGATCAGAATATACATGTAAAACACTTCATTAACTTGTGTTTAGTGCGAGATGCAGTTCATTCACCATCATGAAGTCAGGAGAGAATTATGTTCAGGCTCATAAGTACTTTGTAAAAACCTGAACATCATTACTGTATAATTGTAGATTTATAAGACCAGCTCTCACTGTTTGAAAGTAAAGAAATTTTCCAGTCATAGAATCACATCACATCTGGTTTTCCTCACCTGAAATTCTGAACACTTATTCTACTTTGTACAATTACCGAAAACGACATTGTAATTTGTTCCACTAATAGCTATTCAAACACAAGATAACATTATCCCATCAAGCAAGAACACAGATTGAAAAAATCTTCTTTAAGACAAGCATCTTACCCTGAGGATCGTTAATAAGGTGAAGAGCAGAAAAGTTCCCAGCTGTTGGAGTTTTGCATTTTTTCTTGTGTTTCTGAAAAAAAGATAGTATACTGTACAGGTTAATATGACCATGAAAAAAGGCTACAGAAGTCTTTGACTGACGCACTGCTAGATCATCATCACACAAGGAAGCTCCTTTTAATAAAACATGAATCGTTTACGTCGTCATGTTTGCCAAGTGAGCTTAACACTGGGTTCGTACCCTTTTTCAGAAACAAATTTCCAGGACTTTTCCAGGACTTTTCCAGGACAGACTGATTTTTCCAGGACTCTAAAATTAACCCTTTCACTCTAAAGATCTCAATGCTAATTCTCCTTACTGTCTGCCGTACATTTCATATTTTTTACTTGAGTTTAACAGATTTCCAGAACTTTCCAGGACCAGTAGGCTTTTTCCAGGACTTTCCAGTCCTGACTTTTCCAGGACTCAGATTGATTTTTCCAGGACTCTAAAATTGACCCTTTCAGTCCAAAGATCTCAATGTTAATTCTCCTAACTGTCTGCCATACATTTCATATTTTTTACTTGAGTTTAACAGATTTCCAGAACTTTCCAGGACCAGTAGCCTTTTTCCAGGACTTTCCAGTCCTGGAAAATACCACACTAAAATTCCAGTGCTTTCCATGTTTTACAGGACCCGTATGAGCCCTGATTACACTAATGGCATCCTGCTGTAACATCTAGCATTTAATAGTAAAGATTAAATTTTGGTCAAAATTGGTTCTGTGTTTTGAATAAGGCCAGGTACTGTTCATTTTACAGTGTACACACACTCCACAAATTTTAAAAGATTTTTTTAATAATATTTATTAGCTATGGTAATAGCAAAAGTTTGTCACCAATAAACTAACCTTAAAAGCTGCCATGGCCTTCTCAATTTTCTGTTTCTTTTTTATGGTTTTCTTGTTCACTCCACTTGCATGAAGCATTCTTCTAATTGCTGATTGGTCTGGCTGGTAAAACAAAATCCATTTTGAGACAGGACAATAAAATTAACAAAAGCACAAAAATTATTCAAAGCCTTTAGCACCCGGTGTAAAAACTGAGTGGATTACAAAACAAAGGTGACTTGACAGAATGAGTTTGTTTACATTAAAACAGTGTAATGCTACTGTACCTCTTGATCACTATCACTATCTTCTTTATCTTTATTTTCTTCATCTTTTCCAAGAAAGAATGCCAAAGCTGCAACCACAATCTGTCAAACAATAACATCAGTTACTCATATGCTAACAAGAAGTGTGTTACCGAGCTTATACATGCAGTTAAATTATTACCGTATGTAGTTTCTGTGACTATAGGACAGTAAATGTATGGCAAATACAGTCCTGTCAGTAATTAGACAGTAAGGCTACAGATGGATTGTTAGATTCACATCACCACCTTATGCTTGGGCTTGTGCTCATGCTTATGTCAGTGAGAATGTACCGCTGTAAGCAAAAGCATAACGGAAAGTCTGTGACCTTGTTTTACTGTATTGAAGAGGTATGGAACCAAACATTAGGCAATCCAATGTGTATGCCTACATACTTATGCTTGTGTTGTGGGCATCCTCAGCCCCAGGATGCTTGTGCTTGTGCATGCTTATGTTGTAGTGAAAACCAGGCTTAAGAGTTGCTCTTACTTTTGTCACAGATGAAAAGCAAGCTGTGGTCAAGACATTGACAGTTTTTGCATCATTCCATATATTTTTTCTATAAAGCTCCACCATTACATCCAGTGATTTTTTTGCAGCTATGACATTGGTGTCTCGAAGCATTGTATACATAAAATTCTGAAGAGTCTAAAACAAAAGCAAACAAATGAGGATCAATTCATCGACTGTACCTACAGTGTACCCACCGACACTATCGTCTCTGAATGGTTTATTTTATGTTGTGCTGTAAATGGATTATGTAAACCAAGAAACAAGTAAGCAGAGACACTGCACAGAACTATATTCAACTCAAACTCAATTCAACATTGCCCTTTTTCCTTTTTTACATGTACATTATAAATACATTAATTACCATAAACCAGAACAAAGGAAAATACCAAAATTGTACCAAGGGTAAAATTGGAACCCAACAAAATAATACTTTAACTGAAATTTCAAATGTTTCTCTTGTGGGATGTTCCAAACTCTACTATCATTAATGGTAACCTACATGTACATGTAAATGAACTAATAGAAGTACTATAAGAAAATATATGTAAATGACTATTTATATGCATAGAAATAGTGTATGTGTTATAAACAATTTTCTGCTTTTTGGTTATGGAACAAACTTAACTGATAAAATCACAAAAGAAAAATTATATTTATTAAATTAATTAATTAAATTATAATATAATATCATAATTTAATTTTTGGTGAATTTCAATACTTACAGTATTCACTTTATTATTCTTGTGTTTTGCATTTATATTTTTGATGTCTGTGACAATATGACTGTATAACACCTGTCTTAGAAGTTTATCCTTACATCTGAACAATGCAAAGAACAGCTCCAGAAGGCTAAAGATGAAAACAAGAGAGTTAATAACAAAACAAAACTGAACATAGTAATTCAAAACTTGAACTACCTAGTTCCAGTAACATTAAACATGTTGAGCAACATTTCTTGTCAGCTCCAACCTGAGCTACAGGTAACGTTCCATCTACTGTGTACAGTGTAGAAGCATACATGTATTATACTAATCATTTCATGAAAATACACTTTTCCACATGTCTTCTACACCAAGCATATACACTACTGGGAAGTTTACTTGTAAGCTGTAGGTGGCAAAGATTTTTTTGACACAAATCACATCTACTGGAGCTCAAGGTTAAAGACAGCTTTGGGGGAGGGGGGGGGGGGATGGTGAAAGAGAGGGAACTTCCTTTCTCCTCCTTCCTACAGACTTAGTTTGCGTGTGATCAACATTTATCATCAGAAGCCTGGCACTTGATGAAATTTACATTCCGAAGACAAAAGGTTACGACCTGTTTCCATGATATATAAAGGCTGTATAAGCTTCTTGTTTATAGAGAACCTGATGGCCACCTTACCACCAGTGTCTACAGGAAACCAACACATACTGATCAGTACCTAGCGTATGATTCACACCACCCTCAGTCAGTAAAGCGCGGTATTGTGAAGTGTCTGTATGACCGGGCTAAACATCTCATGACCAAACCATCAGTAATCGCTGGTGAGAAGAAACATCTGTCATCTGTACTTGTTTCTAACATATATCCCTCCTCTTTTGTACAGAAGATCACAAAGGCACGAACAACCCCAAGAAGAGAGCCTGTTGCGGAATTTAAATCCACTGCCGTTTTACCTTATGTCCAAGGAGTTTCGGAGTCTCTCCGCTGCTGCCTAGAACAACAACGCATTTGCACCGTCTTCAAGTCCGACACCACACTTCGGTCACACTTAGTATGACCAAAGGATGATGCCAACCCGGCTAACCAGGCTGGTTTTAACGTTGTCTACAGGATTCCCTGCGAGTGTGGCAAAGTCTACATCAGGGAAACAGGGAGATCTATGCAGGAGAGGATCAAAGAACATGGCAGGGATATACAACTCGCCCGTACCCAGACCTCCGTCGTTTCTGAACACACCCACAAGACTGGCCACTATCCTATCTGGAATGAGGTCAAGTTTATTGATCAAGATCCTCACTGGCACACACGTAGGGTCAAGGAAGCTATTCACATAAGACTTCACCCAAATAACATCAACAGGGATAGTGGAATTGAATTTCCTGAAGCATGGATGCCCACGATCAGAGTACACAGTGACAGGAGAACAGTACAACAGCGGACCACTGAGGGAACAGCTACTCACTGGAACAATGGAACAACAGGAGGATCGAAATGTACCAATCACAGCTGACCATTGTGATATAAATGATACCGTGTAATCAGTCGACTTTATCGCCTGAAGAAGACTAGCAGTAAGCAGTCGAAACTTGGTGATCTACATCTCACGTGACTACATCGTGAGACAAATGATAATACACTTTATTATAAGCTTTTTGTTGTTGTTGTTTTAACATCTATTTTCGACAAACACAACCTTTACAAAAGCTTTCCACTACTATTATTAGCCTTTACTTTTACAATAAGGACTGACCAATTAGGCCTTAGATGCTACCAGTACATTGCCATTGCCATAAGAAATTTGGTATCCCCAACATGAAGGGTACATACCTTGTAGGTGATAATAAGTTCTTGTTTCGAAGAAGTATAAGAGCTCTACAAATCATCTGTGGAATTGGAATAAACTTTGAGGATCTTAACAGCAAAAGGAATCAATCCTTTTCTCTTGCAAACTTAAAAATATGTATGCTAAGCCAAAGAAGATTTTTTTTAAACAAAAAGAAATAAATAATTAACATGTATGAACTAAAACTGACTTACACATACAGTGTACACTGTAAGCCTTGAGAGTTGTCAAGTATACATATATGTGCAAGTATAATAAAGTCAATATCAGATACACATTTTGTAAAGGATTTACAGCTAAAAAGAAAAAGTGCAAAATGCCTATCATAGATGTAGGATGGGAACTACACAGTACCATTCTGAGCTCAGCATCCATGACACTGTGATGTCTCTGCAGGACGTCTATAAGCTCTTGAGGAAAATGTTCCAATTCATCTGTATAGCAATGTGCAACCTACATACATGTATAATTTCAGGTTACACTCTAGATCTTAAAACTACAGACTGAATATGAGCACACTGCAATATTATATATGAGTGCTACCGATATATACTGACCATACATGTATAGAATGTAGATCTTGAGAGGTCTGGGTTCAAGGACTAACAGGGGTGACTGTCACGTTGGTTTTGTTTGTGTTTTCTCACTGCAGTACAGTGTACCTCTCTCCACCCACCACAGTATAATGCATACTGCAAATTGCAAGAGGACAGGGGAGGGTTGGGGGAGGGGGGAGAGAAGAGAAATCCCAGTGATTGTGGGGGGGAAGGAGGAGGTGGGTTAACTTTTAATGAAAACAGTATCACAGCAATAGGAAGTGGTCGTCACTCCTTTTTAAACAAAAGAGCCAGTATCAATGTAGACATCAGACTCCTAAGATCCTCATGACTGGAACATTACATGTACCCGTGCAGTTGACTGCATCCGTAAGGAAACTGACATTAATTCCTCAACATTTTTCCTTTCCATTTACAAGATACAGGGTATTTAACCAATTATTAATATTGATTCTTTTGTTAATCATGCCATGGATGCTTTGTAGTCATACCTGGCTGATGAACATAACCAAATCTCCAAGGGTTTTGTTTGCATTTGAGGGATCAAGCTTGAAAATCTGCAGGTTGGATTCATAGTGCCTAAACTGTTGAAGAAACTGAAACAAGAGAAAAATGACATCTTAACATTTTGTCCTACCATGCACCGTTAAAATATTTTTCGAGTAAAAGTGAATGTATTTCACCACAAAAGTTAACGTTAAGAAACAACGACGTTTCGACCATTTGATGGTCATTTTCAAGTTGAAAGTAAAATTTTTGTATGCACTCAAATAAATACAATCGATTATAAGAATGCTAATAAGACACTGACTAAAACTCTAAAATATTTTCATAGAAACAATACAAGAAAATTAGTGTTGGCATGAATAATAAAAAAAACACTAAGGCGATAGAATCGATATAAAAAGTGAAACAGTTATAATAAGTAAATAGCTTCACACAGATCGAGTCACTCTGTTTGTTCAGTTTTGGTTTAAGTTTACGAATAAAAAATTAGGTTTTAGTCAGTGTCTCATTAGCATTCTTATAATTGATTGTATGTATTTGAGTGCATACAAAAATTTTACTTTCAACTTGAAAATGACTGTTGAACAGTCGAAACGTTGTTGTTTCTAAACGTTAACTTTTATAGTGAAATCCATTTCAAAAAAATTGTTGATTCGAAAAGTGAATGTACAATTTGTAATGCCATATATTTTCAAGAGGCATTGCATAGTACATGTAGAAACCCAAGAGAATTATTAGGGTGAAAGTTAAACACACTGAAGCTATCTGGTTAGTGTGAAAGCAAAACAAAATATCTGTCCTTGAACTGTTTTGGGTCAACCACTCTAAACCCTTCAACTGTGATATTACTAGTAAGAATACACGTGAAACAGACCAAGGTGAGATTCCATCCAATGAAAAGTAATTGACTAGTTAAGTAACTATTTATGTCAGTGTCTTGGTTTCAACGAGAGCCACATTTAATGATTATAGGTGTCAGAAGAAACACATGTTAACGATTTACAAATGACATGTTATTTATTACATTTCTGTAGGAATAAGTTAAAGTGTAAATTACTCTTACTGTAAATCTCCTAATGAGATAGTATAGGCCATATTCGTATTCTCCATATTGGACTAGAACTAGCTTGGAATGGAAGCTCATGTGGTCTTTTTAATGTCATTTACATCTGAAAAGACCCCATATTAGCCTCAGTTGCAAGCTAGTTCCAGTCCTATACCAAGAATATGAATATGGTCTATTATCATGACCTCCATAGGAGAACTCATAATTCTGTATGAAGCCAAGATGTAGAGGAAATTTTTCTCATTAAGAATTTTAGAGTACTCTATAAACAGCCAGTCATGTTCAGGTAGTAATGTAGACAAATACAGGTATACGGACATGGTAGTTTTAGACTAGAGTAGGGCTATTATGGTCTGCTCTGGCCATTATATATTAGTAGTGCTATGTTATCATGACTTGACGACATGCGGCACGCTTCAGCTAGCGCTCCGCGTTCTTTCTCGTGTATTTACTGTTTGGCTAGGTTAGACATTTTCTTTTTTCGTCTGTTGACTAATGGGAGACAAAGTTAAAGTGCTAAGAAAAGAAAACGAGGATTTAAAGAGTCAACTGAATGATTTAAAGAAGGAATTTCAGTTTCTCAAATCCAAGATGGCGGAACAGAAGGATTACCACGAAGCGGCAGCCACCGCTCTACCGAGCACACAGGATGTCCAATTCCTCAGCGACAGCTATGATGCTCTTGTGAAGTCAGAATCCAGCTTGTCAAAAGCTCTGGATAATTTCTCTCGTAGGTTGGATTTATTGACAGTTA